GAGAATGCTTGTGGTCAATGTAGTAAAAGGAGAGCTGGCCCTTGTTTTACAAGTAACAGAATTTGATGTCTGTTATTTCTACTCCTCTTAGAATGCTCAAATCCTATGGTTACTTTGTAGTTTAGATTATGCCTCAACATTTTCATGAAGAATTCTCGGACTATATTTCAATTTTTGGTCTCCTTCCATACTAGTCCCACAGTAGATATTTAATAAACATTATGTTATTTAACTGGGTAACCAAGGAATCCATATCCCAGGCTTCTCCTTCCAACACAGACTCCTTAGGGAGACAAGATGGGAGACAGAAAGCTGAAAGGATTTCAACTTGGTAGTAAAATTAAAGGCTGCACAGAGTGGAGACATACTAACACAAAAGATCAGTCAGAAATGGAATGAGAGGGCACTTGGGTGGCTTAGTCAGTTAAGCGTCTGCCTTCAGCTCAGGTCATAATCTCAGGGTCCTGGGATCAAGTCCCACATTGGGTTCTCTGCTGAGCAGGGAGTCTGCTTCTCCCTCTCACTCTCCCTCTGTGCTTTCTCTCTCTCCTTCTGTCTCTCTCAAATAAATAAAATCTATAAAAAAGGAAATGGAATGAGAATGGTGTATAAATATATTTAAATATATATATTAGTGTGTGGAAAGCTCAAAAGAGAACACAAGCAACTGAGCACTAAACTTCATTTTTGGCTGGGTTTTGAACAACCAATGTGAAAAGGAAAAGAGAATATGTAATTTTACATTTCAGGAAATTCTGGCTGAGATAGGATGGCACCAACAGTCACGTACACCTTTGGGTAGTATGGACATCTTAAGAATAGTTAAGTCATCCAATCCATGGAAAAGAATGTCTTCCATTTATTTGTGTTTTCTGTAAAGGGCCAGACAGTAACTACTTTAGGTTTTGTGGGCCACACAGTCTCTTGCAATGACTCAACTCTGCCACTATAGCATGAAAGCAGCCAGTAACAGACAAAAAGTAAACAAATTAATGTGTTTGGGTTTCTTAAAATTACATTTAAGGATACGAAGATACGAATTTCACATTAATATTCATGCATCACAAATATTTTTCCAATCACTTAAAACTATAAAGAATTATTCTTTTTTTTTTTTTAAAAGATTTATTTATTTGAGAGAGAGAGAAAGAGAGCACAAGTGGAGGGAGGGGAAGAGGGAGAGAGACAATCCTTAAGCAAACTCCCCGCAGAGCCCAATGCAGGTCTCAATCCCAGGAACCTGAGATCATGACCTGGAGCTGAAATCAAGGGTTGGCTGCTTAACCAACTGAGTCACCCAGGCACTCCTATAAAGAATTATTCTTAGCTCCAAAGGTGGAGGGCCAGATTTGACTCCAGGGCCATAATTTTCCAAGCCCTCCCTAAGGCATTCATGGTATATCATGATCTTGGTTCTCTCCTATACATCTAAAATGGTACTAGATTTGTACCATTCTTGGAAGAAATGAAAAAAGAATCACTCAAATCATGTTCTATAGGTTTAATTCTCTTACAGAATCCAGTTAAGAATGGCTGCATTTTAAGTGATAAAAATTAAAAAAAAAAAACTGGTTAGGATATGAAGCACAAGGACTCTTACACATGGGTAGCTGAAATGTAAACTAATATAACCATTTTGGAAGATAATTAGGGATTGTTGGGGTAATCTTTGATGGGCCCTCAGTGTCCCTGCATGTTTTTTTCTGAAAATGCCAAGAATATCAGGCCCTGACTCTTTACCCAGGTCATTTTTCATTTGCAATGAGCAACACTGAGAAATGCATTGAGCAGGCTTATTTATTAAGTGTTCCTCTCTGTTAACGTAACCAGTTACCTGTGTGTCTAAGTCCACTTGTGTTATTCCAACACGTCTACCTCTTGTGGATTTGGAAGCCAAGGAAACCATTAGGAACCTAAATCTTTGGCTACTACTTTTGCCATAATTTTCTTTTAAATCCTGTGTCTGGTCCAGGCATCAAGTATCTTCTGCCAGAATCAAATAAACAATATCAGGCCAACTTGTTAGCTTGCAAGTAGGATAAAATCTCAGACTTTTCAGAGTTCTTGACAGGAAGTATCTACCAAAGTTGAAGATACACAACCAGCAATCAAACTCCTAAGTTTATACTGAAAAGAAATGCATACAACGTGTATTAAAAGATTTGTACAAGAATGTTCATAACAGCATTTTTAAACTTTATTCCTCATACTTTTGCTTAAATCTTTAATCTATCCTATCTTTCAAGGCTAGAATGATTCATGTGGTAATGGATTAGAGTTGGCAACATCAGTATGAAATCACTATCAGCTTAACAGAAATACAAATGAATATATATAGAAATACTCATAGATGTGTGGTCATACATGGATTAGTACATACAAGTATGATTTCTTTGCTCTGTTATCTGAGAGGGGCCTAAAAGAAATGATACTTTCTCAGCAACAATCACACCTACCAGTCAGACTTTGGTTTCTAGTACCATTCTCCAATAAAAAGAAGCAGGGCTCTTTGGAGAAATGGTTTATTCTAGGACTGGGACAATAAATATACAAGCTGAGCCTAGAGTATTCTGTAGTGACAGAAAGGAAGGAGGTGATTAAAAACAAAAACAAAGGAAAAACTTACACTGAGATGAATATGACAAAAAGAGTAATCAACTGAAAGAGACTCCTACAGCCAAAGCTGGAACAACGTGAGTAGCAAACTAAGTAAAATAATATAATTCAAAGTATAAAACAAATATCCACACATCCATACTGATATAAAGGATTGAGTAAATTAATAAATGGGGGAGAAGAGACAAATCTCCTGACACTGCCTCCAAGAGACATTGGAGAAACATGATAGGTACTACCTCAGCCAGGTGGCAAGAGTCTACATTAATAGTCATCAATCACGTTGACAGTATGTACCACTGATACAATGTAACCTTCCTCTCAATAATCCATAATCCTAGTCCTACCATGAGAAACACACCAATTCCAATAGTAGGGCATCCTATAAAATACTTGACCAGCACTCCTCAAAGCCATCGAAGTCATCAAAAACAAAGAAGGTGTGAGAAACTGTCACAGCCAGGAGGAACCTAAGGAAACATTGTAATTAAATGTAACGTGCTATACTGACTGGAATCCTGGAACAGAAAAAAAAGGACATTAAGTAAACAACTAAGGAAATCAGAATAAACTATGAAGTTTAGTTAATAATAATATAATAATAATGGTTCATTAATTGTGACAAATGTACCATATAATACAAAATGTCAGTAATGGGGAAACTAAACAGTATGTAGGAATACTGTGGACCTCAATTTTTCTGTAAATCTAAAACTATTCTAAAAAATAATGTCTATTAAAAAAAAAAAATCCTGCCTCTCCTTCAAGGTCCATTAAAAAGCCTATCTCCTGCAAGAAACTATCCCTGATCCCCTCCAACTTAAATGAGACCTTTCCTTCCTTCCACCTCACACCAGCTCTGCTGAGCACCTACCATAGTTTGCCCAACAAAATGATTTATAAACATGTTTCATTTCCCCTAAATCATAAGCATCTTAACATCAAGTTTATATTTGTCATGTTAATTAATACAAAATTAGGTTGAAGCAAAATTGAGAAACCAACTAACCAAGATGAAAGTCACATTTAGTTATGGTTAGTATGTCCTAAGGCAGTTTCATTCTACTCCTGAACAACTCTAATAATTAGAAAGTTCTTCCTGCTGCCTGAAACCAAATGTTCTATAATTTCCTCATTTATTGCATGAATGAATGAATGACAACGAGCTCTATGAGAGCAGGGAACACCTTCTGTTTTACTTAATACTGTATCTCCAGCACCTGGCACACAGTAGACACTCAAAAAACACTTGTTTTGGGGTTGCCTGGGTAGCTCAGTTGGTTAAGTGTCTGCCTTCGGCTCAGGTCATGATCGCAGGGTCCTGGGATCCTGTCAGCAGGGAGCATGCTTCTCCCTCTCCCTCTGCCCCTCCCCCCTGCTCATGCTAATAAATTTTTTAAAAATCTTTAAAAAAAAAACCAAAACCACACATTTGTTTTTGAATGAGTAAATGGCTACCTGGCTAGGGAAAGGGCTGTAACTTTTATTTCCCTTCCCATACAATTTAATTTACTGTTTAGTTAATGACCACCCTCCTGATAATATATACTCACATAATATATAGTCTCATATGTAGGTTTTACGAACAATTTAAACTAATTTAACTGAAGCTATGAGGTTTAGTAATTTTGTGCAATTGCAAGTGCGAAAGGAATTGCGATCAGTAGATCCCCAAGGGTGTACAATTAACGACTAGAAATGAATCAAAAACTACGGCTGAGGCGGCAAGGTCCCCCCCGCAATGTCTGGGGAAACGCTCCTGGACTAGCAGCCAGGCCCGCGGCTCATCCAGTCCACAGCTCCGCGACTCTGGGCAAATCACTGCACTTCCAGTTGGCCTGCTTCCTCGTCGGAAACTAAAAGGCTCCGACTCAAGGCGTCTTAAGTCTTTGCTGATTCCAAGGCCCTAGTATTCTCAGCTATTAGGGTTTTGTTTGTTTTTCTCAAGTTTTCAAATTCAAATCGGTTTAACCCTGCACAAAAACCTCCCGTAGATCGCGTTCCCGCTCAGTCACCTCAACTGACAAGTGATCTTCATGGCCGCGTCCATTCTTGAGATTCTCCCCCCCCACCCACCCCGCGGCAGTTGGGGGGAACAGGTTACAAACAACAGCTAACGTAAATAAAATATAAATTCGCAGGCTGCACGACGACAGGGCTTCTGAAAAAGAAACACTTCTACAACCCTACATGAAAAAATGAGGAAACCCCTTTCCACACAACTCTCAAAGGAAGAAAAGAGTGGGGCGGATCCTCTCTCACTCCGCCAAAGCTCTGAGGTAAAGACTGCACCTCGGCAAGTCTGAGGAAAAAACAGAGCCGCAGGAGAAGGAAGCAAGAAAAACGTTAAGAACCAGGTCCTCGGTAGGGGCAAACACACCTACCAGATCAGCGGGTCCCTGGGGCCACGTCGCCTCCCAAACTTCCAGAACGTTCCCCCAAGTAGCCGGAAGCAGGGAGGGCGGGGCACAGAGGCCCAGGCGCGTTCGCGGCTACTCCAGCCGCGGTGCGCGCTCTCCACCGGCTGAGCTTCCGCGCAGGCGCAGACCTCGCTAACGATGGCCCCGCCTTTCCTACTCTTTAGATTGCAAGGTTTTCACCAACTGCTAAGTGGTTAGGAAAAAGTGGAGGGGTTAGCTTGTTTTTTGCGTTTGACTTAGTCGCCTGGAGTTGACTTTTCACAACTTTCTAACATGCAGGCTCAATTCTTTTACTGTTATTGACAATATGAAATCAAAGTGGCCTCAGGTTTATCCAAATTATGGAAAAATAAAGACTCACATTTTCATTCGTGGCTGTTAAGTATAACATAGTAGAAGCCTGTGTGTTTACTCCTTTGGAATCCATTGCTTTCAGACCTGACTGCAACTAAGCAAATTATTAAGTGCTGGTGTTCACAACTGTAAAAATTGAAAAAAGAAAAGAAAAGCCAATACTTGCCTAGAACTTATGGTTGGGATGCCAAAACTATTTATGTCTTCCTTTGTAAGACACGTAATTGCTGGGGGAAAAACAATACTGCTCCAGGAAAAATCCTTTGGAGCACACTTGTAATGTGGATTAATTATTCCCTGAAGTAACCATTTTGTAAGTTTAGAGTTGTATAACTGATATTAAAATTAGGGGCACTCTTTTACTGCTGCTGTTGGACATTAAAGCCAGGATAGGAGAGGTCAAATTAATCAAGACCTGACTCCAGCCACACCGTGTGGATTTCAGAACTCAAGGAATTGACACAGCTGCTGGTGTGGGCAGGAAGGTTGGGTCGGCCAGAGGACCCTCCTTGGAAGGTCCTCGTGTTTTGAACAGGCTAATTGCAGAGGGGTAGGAGAGGCATTCAAAATTAAGCCGCAGGGGCCCAACAAGTAAGAGTGCAGAATAGCCTTTCCTTTCTACCTGTTATACTAGGAGACTTAGCCGAATTGAGAGCAGCAACTCCAGTTCAGGCAGTAAAACTGGCAAGTGCAAAGAAGGGTCCATTCTGGGGAGGGTACTGAAGTTCTGGGTAACTGACCAGAATAGGGAGGGAAAGAAAACTAATCTTATCGAGAACCTACTGTGTATCAAGTACTATACCAGATACTTTGCATACATGATTCTATTAATCTCCATAAAGGCTGTAAAGTATATGTTATTCTCATTTTAAAGATGAGGGAACTAGGGCTCAGAGAGATTAAGTTACTTGGCCAAGGTAATATAGCTAGTAAAAAAAAGGCTGGGATTCAAACCTATGTCTAAGTCAGATGTCTAGGCCATCTTCCTACCTCTAGAGCTCTGCCTCCACACAAAGACCCAGGTATAAGAACTGGAAAACATCATTTAAGTCACATGAGTACAAAAATGACAGCAGAAAGCCATAGACTGTGGAGATAGTATTGATTGTTCATCCTTCCTTCCTTTAATTTATCCTTTTTTCTTTTTTTTAAAGATTTTATTTATTTATTTGACAGAGACACAGCGAGAGAGGGAACACAAGCAAGGGGAGGAGGAGAAGGAAAAGCAGACTCCCCGCTGAGCAGGGAACCTGATGCGGGACTCCATCCCAGGACGCTGGGATCATGACCTGAGCCGAAGGCAGACGCCCAATGACTGAGCCACCCAGGTGCCCCTTTAATTTAGCCTTAATTTTTTTTATTAAAAGAGAGATGGAGGGGCAGAGGGAGAGAGAGAATCCCCAGCAGGTTCCATGCCCAGTGCAGACCCCATGTGGGGCTTGATCCCACAAACCCAAGATCATCACCCAACTTGAAATCAAGAGTGGGTCACCCAACCAACTGAGCCACCCAGGTGCCCCAGTTCTTAATTTTTTCAATCAACAAATATTTGTGTAGAAAAACAGCCTAGTCTCTGGAGTCAAACAGCCTGGGTTCATATCATGCCTCCATCATTTATTTAGCTATGTGACCACAGATAAGTGACAGCTTCTTGGTTTTCCTATCTTAAAATAAGAATAATAATTGTGTCCGTTCATAGGTCAATATATGTAAGCTTTCTAAAACAGTGTCCAAAACATAAGCACTCGATATGTTTACGTGCTATCATTATTATTTAAATGTTCCCTTAATGTTATCTTGCAGCTGTATGATATCTGCCCAGTCCATTCCTTCTCCCACTCTCCTAGATAACAGTTTCATACCTTCTCTCCTTTCTTCAAATCTCTAGCACCTTTTCCTCATCCTCACTTTCCACTGAAGGTCTTCCTTACTATTTAAATGAGAGAAATAAAAGCATCAAAAAGTGAACTTTCCACAGAAGCCTACAAGCACATTTAGCCATCTATCATCATCTTTTTTTTTTTTTTTTAAAGATTTTATTTATTTATTTGAGACAGAGAGAATGAGAGACAGAGAGCATGAGAGGGAGGAGGGTCAGAG